GCCTCCGGAGGAGGAGGCCGAGGCCCCGGCCGCCGCCCAGAGCCCCCGCGGGCCTCTGGGCCCGGGCCCGGGCGTGGTGCTCTACCTGTGCCCGGAGGCGCAGTGCGGACAGACCTTCGCCAAGAAGCACCAGCTGAAGGTGCACCTGCTGACACACAGCAGCAGCCAGGGCCAGCGGCCCTTCAAGTGCCCCCTGAGCGGCTGCGGCTGGACCTTCACCACGTCTTACAAGCTCAAGAGACACCTGCAGTCGCACGACAAGCTGCGGCCATTTGGCTGCCCGGTGGAGGGCTGTGGCAAGAGCTTCACCACCGTGTACAACCTCAAAGCGCACATGAAGGGGCACGAGCAGGAGAACTCCTTCAAGTGCGAGGTGTGCGAGGAGAGCTTCCCCACGCAGGCCAAGCTCAGCACCCACCAGCGCAGCCACTTCGAGCCCGAGAGGCCTTACCAGTGTGCGTTCTCTGGCTGCAAGAAGACGTTCATTACTGTGAGCGCCCTGTTTTCTCATAACCGCGCCCATTTCAGGGAACAGGAACTCTTTGCCTGCTCCTTCCCTGGCTGCAGCAAGCAGTATGACAAGGCTTGCAGGCTCAAGATCCACCTGCGCAGCCACACGGGAGAGAGACCTTTCCTTTGTGACTTTGACGGCTGTGGCTGGAACTTCACCAGCATGTCCAAGCTCCTAAGACACAAGAGGAAGCACGAGGACGACCGCAGGTTCACCTGTCCCGTGGAGGGCTGTGGCAAGTCCTTCACCAGGGCCGAACACCTGAAAGGCCACAGCATCACCCACCTGGGCACGAAGCCTTTCGTGTGCCCCGTGGAAGGCTGCTGTGCCAGGTTCTCCGCCCGGAGCAGTCTCTACATCCACTCCAAGAAGCACCTGCAGGACGTGGGCACTTGGAAAAACCGTTGCCCGGTCTCCACCTGTAACAAACTCTTCACGTCCAAGCACAGCATGAAGACCCACATGGCCAAGAGGCACAACCTCAGCCAGGACCTCTTGGCCCAGCTGGAAGCCGCCAACTCCCTGACGCCCAGCAGCGAGCTCACCAGCCAGGGGCAGAACGATCTCAGTGGTGCAGAGCTGGTGTCTCTCTTCTCCGATGTGCCTGGCCACAGTTCTGCTGCGGTGCTGGACACGGCCTTGGTCAATTCTGGCATCTTGACTATTGACGTGGCCTCCGTGAACTCGACCCTCGCGGGAGGTCTCCCTGCCGATAATAATAACCATTCCTTAGGGCAAGCGGTGGACCCCCGGGCCCTGCGGGCCCCCAGTGACCTTCCCCAGAGTCTGGATACCTCTCTCTTCTTCGGAACCTCGGTGACTGGTTATCAGCAGAGCCCCTTAGACATGGACGATGTCTCCGGCGGAAACGTGGGGCTCTTCGGCTCCTTGGCTCTGAAGAACTCAAGCCTGGAGCCCCAGGTTTTGACGCCCAGCAATAAGTTAACCGTGGACACGGAAGCTCTGACCCCCTCCAGCACCCTCTGTGAAAACAGTGTCTCCGAACTACTGACCCCTGCCAAAGCCGATTGGAACGTGCATCCCGAGTCTGACTTCTTTGGGCACGAGGAAGAAACCCAGTTTGGATTCTCCAATCCGACAGGAAGCCATGGTTCTCAGAAAGAAACAGATCTGATCACGGTGACTGGCGCCCCCTTTTTGATATGAACCCACTCTGCCTGTGCCCTGCCATGTGGCTCACTCTTAGGACGCTCGAATCTGAGGACGTTCGGGATGGAGTGCTTACGTGCAGTCGTTTCTTGCTGCCTTGCGAAGGAACGCATCTGTGGACTTCAAATTTAGAGGTTTAAATTCTCATCCCGAGTCTGGAACTGATGAGTTCTGTGACTGTGAGCAAGTCTCTTAACCTAGCTGAGCCTTAATTCAATATTTATAAAAGTAGGCGTTTTGTCTAGATTGTTTCTATTTCCTTTTCAACTGTATTTCCATTATTTGTACTCCTTTGGAGTAATTTTTTAGAGTATTTTATAGTGGTTACATATCATTCTAATGTAATGAAAAGGGATTTGAGCCCTTTGAACATTAAATGATTGGTGATAGAAGAACTGGTGTTTTTAACTTTTAATATGAATCTTACCTCATTTCTATAATATCAGTAATATTAGTAGAGTGCAAAAATGTGGAATATTATTTGGGTGTTTGATCTTTTGTCAGTCTTCTTGTGTTGTCTTTCTATAGGAGGTTTAATTTTTGTTTTGGAAAATGTCAGGGTTTTGATATATTTACAAGCATAGTCTAAAATATTGCCTCATTAACACTGAACAAGTGGCCTTATATTAGTCATTTAGTCTTGCTGAGCCTTACTTTCCTAGCTTTACAGTGGTCATAGAAATGCACATTATTCTCATGCATTTTGAATTTTTTTATGCTTGGGATTGTTACTGAAGGGAAAGTACATGTTTTGCTTTTGTGAATCTTTAGTTTTCTTGCCTCCGTATTTCCCCTCTTAAAATCTTAGACAACAAAAGTTAGCAAATGTTTATGTCATAGTTTTGCATCCAGTAAAAGTTCATGAGCATTAAGTATACATGGGATTTTGTTCCTTCTCCAGATTGTGGAGGACTGTCTCTACAGAGTTCTTATTTAACATTGATCACAGTTCTGTTTGTCCAGTTTACTAGTGTCTGCTCTGAATCAAAGCCAGTTCTTGGCCTGATTCTACTAATTCAATAAAATTTGGGAATGGACCAGAAGGAAATGTTCATTTCTCTGTCCTGGGGCCCTCATTCCTAGCCCTCTCTGGAATAAGAGGCTTGCTGTGCATTTTGAAACACTGTCAATTTTAACACAAATATAGCATTTTATGATTTATATAGAAATTTCTTATCTAATATATTTGATCATCATAATCTTGATGAGAAAGTGTGAACTTCAACCGATATTAAAGCTTTCCTGACCTATGAGAAATGGAGTTCACTTAGTAAATATATTTGTAGTTCAAATCAAGGAGGAAATATTTCTACCTCTCCGATACTGCTCTTCTGAATTCCCTGATCATTTTGCTTTTGAGCAGTTCTTTTGTTCCTCCTAAGTATGTACTGGTACCCTTATGCTGTTGTGCTAAAACCCCCTTACTCTAGTCCCTAGTGTATGCACCAGTCTGTGCCATGCTTCTACCTATTTCCCTAATTAGACACTTCTTTGTGATCAGCACTCTCTCTCACGTGATCACATTTTATTCACAGTAATTACTGCACAATGTATGCACTGAGAAGGTATTTTCTGAATCCAGATTACAAGTGTGTTTGCAGGAGTCAGATGATAATGGGTTTTTTTTTTCTATAAGGTCTGATGGCAAGTACCTGTCTAAATTTGTTCACCATATTTTCTACTAGCAAATAGTTGTTCTGAATCACTCAAATTCAATACTGTTTTCATGAGGATACTTGAGGAAAAGTTTTTATAGTACCTTGGCAATATATCATTTGCCACTTTGAAATGCGTTATATACTATCTTTATAATTTGTAAATTGGTTGAACCTATTCCGTGAAAAGGCAAAAAGCAGACACTAATTTGTAATTTAAAGAAGTAGAGTTTTAGTGTGTCCAAGCGTCAAGAATATTATTCTCTTAGCACTTTGAAGAGATTTTAAGGACTATTTTAGAAATGCATTTTCACAAGTTAAAACAAACATTTCTCATTTTATTTTGCAAGGACTGCAAAGGCCTGAGGTAAACACACTTCATAAACAGTTATTAAGATATATAACCATAAAGATATTTTAAAGGGTCACTGTGTTTCTTTTACATTTCTTCCAATTAAAGATCATAATAAAATATTCTTACCTATAGTCTGTAGAATTTCCAAAGGATAAATTTTACCTTCTTGATGATAAAAAATCATGTTATCCTTACGATTTCTCTACAAACACTGTCCTAGCATGGGGGTGGAGTGACTGTAATTGCAGTCAAAAATGGGACTACTAGCATAATGGCTGTGTTTCTGTTAACATAAATTTGACATTTTAAAAATGATGAGTCATGAGTTAGTTTTATCTCCTTTGCCTTTTGTGTTTTTTCATTCTTTCTTGATTTATTAAAATTTGCCAATTTAATTGTTAATAATAATGTCTTATAAGAAGGTTGTTTTCAAAGTGTCCTGGATCATTTAAAATATGTTAATCTTGATATTTTGTCACTTACTTTATTATAATATTAAATAATTCCAAGTCTTGAGTAGTAGAAATAAAATTTCATAGATTGTCAGGTTGTCTTTCAGAAAATGCTTCATATTTCCATCTGGAAATGAAAAGGATTTAGCATAACTGAATATTTAGAACATTAGCTCTCTGTTTGTTTGGAGCTATTCATAACCCTTTAGTATTAAACATATCCACTTGGGTATTTAATAATGCAAAAATATAACTTATTTACCTCACTCAAAATATGTCATAATCGAAATGTAAAACTGGATTAAATTGTGTATGTTTATTGCTCTTGAAAAATACAGGTTTTTTTTTCTTCCACTTTTTTTAAGGGAGAAAGGGGTTATTTTTTGCTCATAGTTCCATATCATTATCTGTCATACTGGAGAAGTTAAGCAGCAGGAACTTGAGGGAGCTGATCACATCACACATGCAACCAGAACAGAGAACAAGGAATGAATGTATGCTCATCATTTCTCCACTAATACATTCCAGGATCCTCTCCTTAGGAAATGGTATCCCCACCCATAATTAAGATGGAATATCTACATCATTTAACCTAGTCAACACAATCCCCCAAGGATCCCAGAGACCATCTTCCTGGTGATCCTATTCTGTCAAGTTGAGAACTAGTACTAACCATCACAATATGGCATTCCACAAAGGTGGGCGATACAAGATTGTTATACCTGTGCTGCTTTATGATGTACAGAGTTCTCATGGAGAGCTCGTAGGTGTTATTATTATCCTCATTTTACAACTGACAAAATATGAAATGCTAAGAAGTTTATGTGATTTTCATAGTGTCATAATTGTTATGAGTGACTGTGTTTGGTGTAGTTGAAAAATGCTTCCAGAATCCAATCAGATTATGGTTTTCAGCATAATACATTATTGTTATGGTTGGCAGACCTAGAAATGTCAGTCTCTCCAAATCTGATTTTATGTACAGGAATAGAGAATTTCCTCAATTCTAAATTACCCATGAAATTGTTCTAAAAATATTTGCAACAGTGGGTATAGATGATCTGTAAGAGTATTTCAAAACTTTCCAGATCTGTTTAGTGATCCAGAAAGGTATTTTAAGAACACACATCCCAGCCCCTAAGAGCATAAAATATTCTTATTTATATGGAAAACTAAGACTAAGGCTGATAATGAGCATTTTAATTGCTCATGAGGTAGCTGGAATTATCTACTAGAAATACCTTCTAGAGTAAAAAAAAGTGTCATTATTTTCCTCATGTCACCATTTTCAATGTAAATTTTATATTACATTATATATAATTTTTAAATTATTTTTTGAGATTATAATTACATCATTTTTACCCTTCCCTTTCATCCCTCCAAAACCTCCCATACACCCCTCCTTGTTCTCTTTCAAATTCATGACTTCTTAGCCCATTTGTTGTTGCATACATATATTTATTCCTAAAAACTTAATACAACCTGCTCAGTTTGTATAATGTTGCTTCTGTATGTTTTCGGAACTGACCATTTGATAATTGGATGATCAGTTAGTGTTCTCTCCTTTGAGGAAGACTATTTCTCCTGCTCTCAGTATTCCTTAGTTGAATGCAGTTTTGGGGGTTTGTTTTTGTTTGTTCGTTTGTTCGTTTTTTGGTGTGTGTGGAGGGCTGAGTTCACCTGAGGTTTCCCCCTTACATGTTAGCATGTTTACTGGTGTCATTCTTGTTCAGCTCATGTTTAGGCAGGCATATTGGTGAGACTTTATGGGTATAACTTCTTACATTCCTAGAAGACACAATTCCATAGCATTCTGTTATCCTAGCTCTTAAAATTTTTCTGGCCCCTCTTCCACAATGATCCCCAAGCCTTCAGTATAGGAGTTGTGTTGTAGATGTATTTGTTGGGACTGGGCTCCACAACTCTGCATCTTGATTGGTTGTGGTTTTCTGTAATGGTCTCCATCTGTTGCAGAGAGATATTTCCTTGACTGGGGTGGGAATTAAACTTATCCGTGTGTACAAGGACAAATATTTAGGATACAGTTAAGGTTTATGCTGGCTTAGTAAAGTGATGGTTATAGGCTCTCTCTAAGGTCCTTGATATCACCCTCCCTAGGTAGCTGGCTAGGTTTCCAGTACCAGGCATGATTTCCCTCCTGTTGAGCAGGTCAACTAGAGAACTGTTGGTTTATATTGCCAAGATTGCCATTATTGCACCCTTAGGGGTTATCTTGTCATGATGGTCTTTGTTGTGGCTAATGGGCATTACAGCTGGGTAGGTCTATTGGTTATTTACCTTCCTTGGAAGCTTTCATGGTGCCCACTAGTACCATGGAAGTTAATCTTCAGCGAAGAGGCTTTCAGGTTAGTTCCAGCTCAGAGACCTCTAGGTTCAGTGTCTGAAGAACATCTTCTGAACTAGGGATTTACCTTCCACCTCTGAGGAGTAACCAAGGGAAATAGCAGTAGCCTGTGATGATTTTGGAGTCTCTTGAACAACCCTGACTAACAATTCAAAATAGGGCTTTACATCCCTGGTGTTAGGGATTTTGCTAAATGGTCTTTGGCTCTTGGAGGGAGCATTGTCAGTCCAGACAGAAAATTTTCATATAAACTATATATGTATATTTACACACTGACTTATATGTATTATAGTTATTTTATAGTAGATAATTAATAGTGTGATCCTTATGACCTTTTCAGACATCCTTACTGTTACTTTACCCCCTCCTTCTGTATTTTTCTCCTAATTGCTCTATAATTAAAGACACCCCCCATTTTTCACATTTCCCCTTCAGGTCACTTGTACTCTACTTTTCCCCTCTCTATGGTCCTCCCACATTCCCCCTACCCTTTGATGGTCCCTTTTACTTTCCTGGGTTTTGTAATTCCTCCAGGAAATGTATACACAGCTGAAGATTTGCAGCTAGGAGTCTCAGATTAGAGAGAACATATGTCTTTCTGAGTCTGGCTTACCTTACTCTTTTGAGATGTTATTTTTTTCTTAGAGCTGAATAATATTCTATAGTGTAGATGTACCACATTTTGTTATCCATGTGTCAGTTAAAGGACATTTAGGTTGTTTCTGTTTTCTAGCCTTGCATGTGGCTGATGAAGTATCTGTGAAGAAGGATGGCAAGTCCAGTGGGCATATGCTAAGATGTGGTATATATGGGTCCTATGGTAGGTTTATTTTTAGCTTTTTGAGATTTTCCACACTGATTTCCAGTGTGGCTTCACCAGTTTGCCATCCCACCAACAGGGAAGGGTGTTCCCTTTACCCCACATTCCCTTCAGCATTTTTTTTTTTTGCTGATTTTTGCAAAAGCTTCTCAATTTCGAGAGGTCCCATTTATTAATTGTTGTGCTCAGGGTCTGTGTTGTTGGTGTTTTATTTAGGAAATGGTCTCCGGTGCCAATGCGTTCAAGAGTGCTTCCTACTTTCTTTTCTATTAAGTTTAGTGTAACTGGATTTATGTTCAGGTCTTTGATCCACTTGGACTTGAGTTTTGCTAATACACTTTGAATCTTATACTAATACTTCCTAAAACAGCAGCTTATTAAACAGCTGATAGTTATTCAGTTCCTCTTCTTTGTGTGGTATTTTATAATACAAATGTGCATTTCATTCATTCACTCATGTGAACTTTCTTTGAACACATGTATGACATATTCTGCCTTTACTCAAACATGATCTAGCCAGAAAGAAAGAAAAAAAAAGCACTGAAAAATGACAATCAGTTCTAAATGTTGATGTGTTAGACTACAAATTTAAATAGAATAGGACTTGTTATTTTCACAGAATAGACTAAAAATTGCAGTAAAGACTTTAGTGCACAGATTATGAAGAAACATTTCATGAAGTTATAAGAGTTGTAAATTTAATGTATATTGTAATAAAGAAAAATTAGTCTAAATTAAAATTCAAATAATTGAGAGTAAAAGCCATAACTATAATGCAACACTTTTGGAAGTAAGCTGTTATTATGCCTTACTTAAATTCATTTTATAACTGAATATTATATTATGCCTGAAAGTGATCTTTAGAAGTCATATAAGATATATTATTTTCAAGTATGGAAAAATAGCACATAAATGTATTTATGAGGTATTTATTTTCTAAAAATATGTTCTAATCTCAGACACAAAAGCAAATTTAAGTGTTCTGAAACAAAATACAAAACCAGAATTAGAGCTGGTCAGCAGTGATGCACACCTTTAATCCCAGCACTCAGGGGGCAGAGGTAGGTGGATCTCTGTGAGTTTGAGGCCAGCCTAGTTTACAGAGCGAGATCCAGAACAGGCACCAAAAACTACATGGAGAAACCCTGTCTCCGAAAACAAAACAAAACAAAACAAAAAAGCAAAATTAGAAAGTAATTATTTTATGTAAGAGCACTAGATAGATGGAAGGGCATGTAACTATACATGGTATTGAACTGAGAACTAGAAATCTTAAAACTTGACCAGTTCTTAAGGATGGCGGTAATCATCAAGTGAGAATTTCAGGTTCTGGATACATTATTGGTAAACTGTCATATTTTGAAAGAGAAATAAGTTACACTATAACAAAAGTTTTAAAACACAAATAACAGTAGATTTTCAATATTTAAAACAATCACAAATGGTACTATAAAATAAAAAATAAACTCAGTCATTCACATTTTGAAATAAGTACAAGAAATGATTAGTACATTAACATTTGTCAGTCTTATAATATAGGCTGAAAATTGTAATAAAATGAAAATATTTCAACTCATACATCCATTCTTGGAATATAGTCATGAATAGATGACTAGAGAGTATCAGGATCTTCTTTATTAGGCCTTGGTTTTCATTCCTGTTTGCATGAACAATTTATAGATATAATTGCAGTATGAAAATCTAGTATGCTACATGTGGAAGGAGGAAGATTGTCACATGTCTGTGGGATAAAATCCTCCAAAATAGAGAACTGAAGTGAAAACTCTACAGGCAGTGACACAGTAAATATAATTGCTGTGGATATCACTCTATATAAATAAAACACTGATGGCCAGTGACCAGGCAGGAAGTATAGGCGGGACAAGGAGAGAGGAGAATTGGGGAAACAGGAAGAAGCAGGAGAGACACTGCAGCCAGTGCCAGGATAAGCAGCATGTAAAGACGCCGGTAAGCCACCAGCCATGTGGCAAGGTATAGATTTATAGAAATGGGTTAATTTAAGATATAAGAACAGTTAGCAAGAAGCCTGCCATGGCCATACAGTTTATAAGTGATATAAGCATCTGAGTGATTATTTTATAAGTGGATTGTGGGACTGCGGGGCTTGGGGAACCTGGAGAGAAACCC